AAACCTACCAGTATCCAAATTGCTTCTCTATTTCACTAATTCCCAGCATTGTTATCCACTTGGATTTAGAAATCCAAAGTCAGTCTGAGGTTTTAATATGATCATGACTCCTTTCCCTCAGCTATTTCTCGCATTTAAAGTCACAATTCCCACGCAAATGTTCTCCTGACTTTTAGCACTAATCCCACTTTTCATCCATTTTATTTTCTGAAGCAGCAAGATCACAGGGCAGTCACAGAACCCTGGTCAGAACAACAATAGTAGTAACAATGAGCAATAAAAATAAATGTTGCTTAGCCTAGCATTCCTCCCTTCAGTGATAGGACAAGGAGGAATGGTTTTAAACTGGGATGGGGAGGTTTAGGTTAGATACTGGGAGGAAGTTTTTCACACAGAGGGTGGTGACACACTGGAACAAGTTGTCCAAGGAGGTTGTGGATGTCCCATTCCTGGAGGCATTCAAGGCCAGACTGGATGTGGCTCTGGGCAACCTGATCTGCTGGTTAATGACCCTGCACATAGCAGGGGTGTTGAAACTAGATGATCATTGTGGTCCTTATCAACCCAGGCCATTCTATGAGTCTATGATCCCATGATTAGACCCTTAAAGGTCTAGGTTTCTACACACAGAGCAGGACAATTACATCAGGACTTGAAAGATAGAAAAGAATACCACAGATCTATGAAACACATTAGTGATTCAGGGAGCAGAAATCAGAAATGTGGGTGTATATGAAGCACTGCACAGCAATGAGTTGAAAAATGAATGAGTTCAACAAAAGTTTTCTTATTTCTCATGATGATGACTGAGGAGGAGCAGCAGATGTTTTGTTTGGCTCACACTGCAGAAGGTCAACATTCAACATCAAAAATTACGTTATACCTAAATCCAGCTACTATTTCTTCTGTATTTTTGTTCATCAAGAAACACTAAGGCGCACTTCTTTTCTATTGAAAACAAGAACATCCTGTAGCATTCTGGAAACAGAGGAACAACAACAAACAGGAATGTTTGTCCAACCGACGCTTCAGGTTGAGGACACCAGAGAAAGCAATCTTGAAGGCGCGCAAAACAATCGAACAAGCAAATAAAACAAAAACCCAAACAAAACGAAACCAAAAAAGCCAGCAGTAAGTCAAGTGAGAAACAGCACCGCTATCCTCCCGCCATCGCTTGTGCAGCAGCACCACCCCGTGCTCGGCACCAACGATGCGGCTGCAGCCTGGCCCGGCCCGCACCCGCTGCGTAAGCCGGCCCCGAAGCGAGCACGAGTAACAGCATCGCTGAGCCCAGGCGGTGAAGCCTTTCGTTAGAAGCCGGGAAAGCAACATCGATAGAAATGAACTACAAGTGCTTGACAGTTACATTGCCTCCAAAGTGTTTTTTCGTCACAGCCCACCGACCTGTTCAGCGCTTTGGATTCTGTTCAATACCTACACATTTCAGCGCACTTTTTTTGCGGAGGTTCTCCTCATCTCTTGTTTTCAAAACTTGAGAGACACATCCTGTTTGGGCTAGAATAGAGCTCAGTGTCTTCTTACCAGCAGCACGGTGCTGTGCTTCAGGTTTGGGGTGAAAGGAATTGATGCTAACACCCCCACGTTATAGCAGTTGCTGAGCAGGGCTTACACAGAGTGTAAGTTGTACATACTTACTGCTCCTGGTGCTGCCCTTGCAGAGAGGAACTGGGAGAGGACACAGCCAGGATGGCTGACCCAGGTTGACCAAAGGGATATTCCATACCCACACCATAGGGCAACATGCTCAGCTGTAAAAACAGAGGGGGGGGATTGTTCAGAGCGACGCCACCTGCCTTGCCAAGAAACAGCTATGTGTGATGAGCCCTACTTTTCTGGGAGTGGCTGAACATCTGCCTGCTACTGAGAAGCAGCAAATGCATTTGTTTTGCTTGCAAGCACGGCTTTTGCTTTACCAGCAAAGCTCTTGCTTTACTGTCACAACCCACAAGCCCTCCCACTTCTACCCCTTTCCAGTTCTTTCTGCAGTACCAACTGCGGAGCGTAAGAAAGCAGCTGGGTGGTGCTGAGCTGCCTGCTGCAGGTTAAACCAAACCAACACTGTACATTTCAGAGGAGAAAGGCACTGATTTTGATGACAGCAACCCAGAGAAACTGTGTGTTCTGCACTAGTCACCTCACCTCACTCTGAATGCCAAAAGGAGGAAGGTAAGTGCCTGACTGTTCTGCCTGACCTGAGCACCCAACTACAGATTTTCCATGAACAGATATTAATTAATTTAAAGAATAGACAAATACATAGCTATGGTCATAGCAATGACATTAAGGAAAACACGAGCTCTGAATACATCCCATTTCTGAGAGACTTCATTACATACCTGAGAAGAAAAAAAAATGGTCGAAGTGAGCATTTCTATTAGCAGCTTCAGCAGAAGTATCTGACTTACTTAAGGACAGATGAAATATCATTTCTTCAGATTCGGTCATCCTCTGACTTGAAAACAAGGTAAAGTTCAAAAGCTGTTGCCTTGTTTCTGGTCCCCACCTCTCCTCCCTCAAAGGTCAGGGGAATGGGAATGAAGCACCAGCTTTGAATGATGCCAAGGTGCCCTTCAAAAGGGGATCAAAACACCTACACAGAACGCAAAAGTTATCATTCATACTCTTCAGTACAATGTCTCATACACCAATGCACTGAGTGTATTTTGCTGATCTGTGACTTCTAAATGCTTTTACATTAAATCAGGGAGCAGAAAAAAATGTTATCAGTTAGGCTTTCACTTTTAGCATTGCCTTCTTCATAAATTACTGCTCTCAAGATGAATTTCAGAGTAAACGTCAAACCATTTCTTTCCAGCTGTCATAAAGGAGTAAGAAGATAAAGAAGCAATGATATGAACAGCACCAAAGTGGGAGATTTGGTGATATAGGCCTACAGAATACTTTCATGTTTAAAACTAGTTCCATCTCAGCACAAGTCCTTTTTGCTATTTTAATTTATCTTTGATGAATTCAACCAGAATATTTTATCTAAATGACTGAGTTATATATTTAACAAGAAATTAAACAGCTCCATTTATTTTACAAAGCATTTGTCGTGAAGAAAAATAATATTTCTATATGCATCAACAAAAAAGGAAGAAAAAAAAAAAATCAAGTGAATAAGACAGCAAATTCCATACACATAAAATTGTCCGATACAACATATGCAACAGTACAACACTGCAATGAAAAAAGAAAAACCTTTTTGCGGTGGGAAGAGATAAAGAAGGAGGGACAGTAGGCTTCAGGCACAAACAACAAAATCCAACTTCTTAAATTAGCTTTAAAATAGAATTCCATAGGTAAGAGGGTTTGATTCTACTACTCATCTGATAATTGGCTCTTGACTTAACTAAAAAATAGATAGGACTATCAACTTCTGAGCACTTCATAACCATGCCAGAAACTGAACACAAATTTTCAGGAATCAGCATCAGAAGATGTAGAGACAAAAAACACGCGCAGGTATGATAAGCAATTGACATAAAAAGAGTAATTAATTCTCAGGTGGTTGCAGTTCAAGGTTGTCTTACAATTGCAGTATACTGAACAATCTATATTTTGTACTCCTAAAGGGAAGTAGCAAATATTGGAAATAAATCAATAAACTGTTTTTCCACTTGTTTGAGAAAGCTCAAGTTTTCAGACTCTGTTTCTCAATTCAAAATGGAATTTTAAATGCTTTTGAACCGTTTGCATCCAGCTGTATTTCTGTGGCTGGATTCCAGAGCCCTGCAGTAGTTCACCACAGGGTCAGGGGAACATGCAGGCTGACAAACAGGGCAGGGCAGAATTACAGCAGCAGCATTATACATCAGTTTAAGCTATGGTGGAGATGGAATCATAGAATCGTTACAGTTGGAAAAGACCTCTAAGATCATCTCATCGATACACACCACACCTCTTGCCATCCTCATGTACAGGCAGTGACAGGGAAAATTCAGCAAACCTTCCAGGAAGAGTTGAAATAAGCACTTAATTGCCCATTAGAAAATCATTTGTGTTGGTTTTAAGTCCGTAAGTACCAAATTTGGACCCCCAAAAAATAGGGAATATAGAGATAGTCTGAGTGGGACATTGAGTGAGAGTGTATACTTGCAAGAGAACAGAAAGCAAAGGTTTTAGAGTGGATTAGGCTTTAGTTAACATATTTACTTATAAGAATTCTTCATATTTTACTTGATTAACCAAGTGCTAATTAGCAAGATACAACAGTAATAACTCAAAATTATAATTTCCCAAACTTCAAACTTCACATTTATTCAATATGGAAGTTTAAAAGCTAAATCTGCAAAGAATCAATTTCATCAGGACTATTAAAATGTGGAGATTCTCCAGCTGTTGTATGTGACTAACTGAAAAGCTAAGCTAAACCATGGTGTTTAGACTTCATAACGCATGAAACAGTCTCCTGATTCTTCACGTGTCAATTTAATTTTCAGAGCCATTCATAAACAGTAAATGAAAGCAGCGATTTTAAAGCAGCTTAAATAGCAGACTAGTGTTTCTGTAGCAACTGTGCTCTGCTCCCTGCTAACCTGATGAGAGCATGGTGTTGCAAGATCCTTTTTTCATGCAAGATCCCTGAAGTATGGACCACTTTCCTCCCATCTTCTTCACTGAACCTATCACAGAAATCTTCAACTCATCCTACAAATGCAGCGTATCAGCCCTACTCTGACACTGATGCTAACAGCTCTCCTCCTTTCTCAGCTTTGGAGGAAAAGAAAGCAGCACAACATGAGAATACAGTGCTCAGTAGGTATCAATAATTCGGTATTGTAGCTATACCAAATAGCAGCATCACTACAGAAACAATATACTGCCTGCTACTAGGCTGGAAATCATGATGTGCAGCTGGAAAGCATTATATATCCTTACAAACCTGCAAATGAGTAGGAAAAATACATCAACTTTTTCAAGCAGTGTTATTAAGTGAAAATGGATCTTCGCCCATTGAAAACCACATACAACAGCGCCAAGAGGGAAAAAATTTATTGGTTCTTTAGATTTCCAATGACTGCTTGCATTACGTTCTACAAATTCATTCAAATATTACATACAAAGGATACCTTCTCTTCTTTGCAGTGTTAGAACTAGTTTAAGATTCAGAGAAAATGTAAGGAATAAAAGCAAAAAAAGAGTCTTTAAATTATTAATGAAAATACAGTATTAGTGGAAATACATGATTATTTTTTTTCCACGTTTCAGCAAAACACTTGCAAATAACTGGGCTCTGTGCTCAGTACTCATCTTCCATGAAGACTTTCGCATACACTCAGAAGGCACTTGAAATTCCCAGAGGTTGGGATGTCGGAGGAGGAGGGACTATTTATCAGCTGGGTAGTAACATGTTTGTTTTTAATAAGTGCGATATGAATATAAACTCAAACAGCCATAAAGCATTAAGATGCAAAATCTTAGCTAGGCATGCTAACTAAAGGGCTGCAAAGCTGGAGCACAAGAAATCCTTCATGTTTCTGCCACCATTACTCATCATCTCCACCACAGAGGAGCAGGAGCGCCTTCCTGTAGTCCCCAGATGTATCTTTCTGTTAATACAACAAACCAGTCACCATGAGTCACAGCCACAGAAATGCAAGGAAAAGCAGCTGCCAAGGAAAGACTAAACAGATTACACACTTGTCCCATCCACAGGAAATCCAATCAGTGGATGACTCTCCACTTGGGAATGGCAGAAGGAAATTCTCCGACTCTTCTGCCAGAGTTATATTTACAGAGAAAGAAGTTCAGAAACAATAAATGCTCCTGAAATCTTTAGCAGAAGTGGGCTACTTTACTGCATGTGAGAAAGCATTCAACTGCAAATGAGGAAGTGCAAAGAAGAATCTGGAAGCAGCACCAAGAGCAACAGCCTTTATGTTGTAACCCAGCCTAATTGATAAAGCAGCACCTCAGGAGCTGCAAGAGCAAATATTCCCCAAAACATTACTAGGAAAAAAAGCATTTGGGATCTAACTTTGCAGCAAATCCATGACAATGCTCCCACAGCTGGCTCTGGATTTCCTACGCTTGCTCCTTGCTCCTACGCTTCCTACTCCTTCACATCCACTCAGAGGAGACTTTGACACAGACAGTGACTCCACTGTGAGATTTTTTCCTACTTTGGAGTGGTGCTAATGGTTCCACATCACAATCATAGATTTCCTCTCCAACCCCCTGTGCTATCCCTCTGGAGCCAGCATCCTTTCTAAAGCACTAAAAAGCAGAGGGAATTCAGAGAAGAAGTAAATGCAGTAACTAAAGGTAGGGAAAAAAATGAGCAATTGTAATTTTGTAGTGGTAAAAATTGTAACTAGGGAAGACCACATCTATTCTCCCAGTGAACACTGAGGGGGGAAAAAAAAAAACAAAAAAAAACCACTTTAACTTTTCATAACAAATGCTTCTTCTCACTTAAATGATGCTGCTTGGTATTTCACAGAAATGCAGGCCAACCTCTGCTGTCCTCAGAGTGCCCTATGCTATCTTGCATTAATGCTACCCTCCCATTTACAACAGAAACAATTACTTCTTAAGTACCCCTGCTTCCCCTGACAACAAAACAGTGGTTTTACCTGAATCATCTGATGCAACGATTTTGCAAAATTCTTTCTGAATTCTTGTCTAATATCCAACAGATCGATTTCACTTCTTGAAACCATGACTCTGATCAGGGTATCATCATCAGTGCCAGCCCCCTAAAGAGAAGAGTTTAAATATTACCCTATACATTTGTTCTAGAGAAATATTGTAATAAAACAAAACAAAAAATAAATAAAAACAAGCGGTATCTCAAAACACTCCTGCATTACATTTTTATACCAAAACAGGATTTATGGGACAGTACCACAGACATCCACACTACAGTGTGTAGAACAGAGGACCAGCAACACGAGGTGCTCTAAGCCCCAGAAGTCTATGAAGTGCCATATGATCAGCCCTCTTATTTTGTGTTTCATCTTCAGACTCCAACTGTGAATGCCCAGATAAATTTTAAACCCTCCAGCTCCAAGATTGTACAGTAGTACGTCTGATCACTACAACCAGAATCACACACAAATCATCTTTTCAGTAAAGTCTCAGATCACTGCAGTAGACCTGCAGTGAGTTCTGGAAGTGGGTACATAAATCTCAACAGTGCTAAATGGAAGCATGTAACATTGTACAGCAAGCACAGGCAGACCAATCCATTCCACAAGTTATCCAGCTGTTTATTAGAAGGCAAACTTCCTATGCCTTTCCCAACCATGCATTTCTTTTATTCATCTGGTTTCAAATATTCCAAGTTTCTGCACTAGCAAGCACTGCCAGACCAACATCCTGACCCCTCCTGCTCAGACATGTCAGACTTCACACAAGCTGAAGCAATACAGATTGTCACATGCTGACCTGCTAGTGCACCTCAAGGAAGGACTTGGCAGAGTCCCCACGATCATCTTCAGCCTAATGTCCAGGGCCACTCAATCCTTCGACTGGGTGTAACATTCTTGGTTTACATCTAAAAGTGCCCTAAAGCTGCTCAGAAGTTACGTTATGAGTCCAGTTGTTTCTCAGTAGGATTTAATAGTAAAATCTGGTAAAAGCTAGGCTCTGCCCCACCTTATCATGAAAGCAGACATTGTAGAACTTTGTCATATCAAACTGCTAAATTGCAATCATAAATTCTTCTGCCAAATTTACTAACAATGAAGTTCTTTCTTATGGAAAGAGGTTAACCATTTTATTTATATTATATACAAATAATATACATATATAATATAAATATATTATATATATATATAAAAATATATATATATATATGGGAGCTCATCTGTAGGCTTTAGTAAAGCATCTCATCATAGAAATTAAAAAGATTATTAAATCCGTAGGAAAAAAAAATTTTCTACTGTATTCCTTGAAAAAAATAATAATAAATAAACAAATAAGAAAAAGTAACCAGCATATTGTTAGCATATGTTGTATTTTCTATCTAAACCTTATTTTATGCTGATGGTGATAAAAGCAGTAAAGCAGCTTTTAAAAATTGAGCTACCATTTCTTCTGTTTTCATTAATTCTCATGTTGACACCTCACAGTCACAACTATTTGTAACAAACACACCTTGGTGCTTTTCAGCAAAGGGAAGGAAGGATTTCTTCAGAGAAGCTGATCACATGCTTGAAAACAAAAGATCACCAACTTCATCTTTCCTAGGGTTTTAATTACTATTGTCCAATTTAAGTTAGTAACACAGATTCCCTGCTTATCTCTTTCTATCTAAGATAAGGTGAAGAAAAACACAACTATGTGACTGATGGGGTTCCCCTGCTAAAGCTTTTATAGCTATTTAGATAACTTTTGTTTTTCTCTTACAAGTTCCTTTTCCTTTTCAAAATAGGACAGTCAAAATAGGACAGTTTGTGTTTCAAAGTTAACTGCACCTTTAGTCTCTAGATACGTCCAAAGCAAAGAGCAATAGATCTGCACAAGTGGCAGTTCAGCTTTGGTCATCTTTGCTTCCTAAATAGATCCACCACCTAAGTAAAGGCAATTTATTTATTTAGCTTTATTTATTTAGCTGAAGGTGCTCAGTGAATCTAGCCAGAAATTTTCTTTTATAACAAGATCAAGGGCAAAAGCAGCTGATGAAACTGATGTTTTCTGAAAAATACATATGGTTTGAGAAATTTACAGGGAACTTAGAGGGGGGGAAAAAAAAGCAGCATATGAATTGGTCTACCCCAGATCTGCAAACCCCAAACCTTTTGTAGATGCTTAGTGATACAGTACCCTGTTGGCATTTGCAATGAAAAAGAAATGATGAACAAATGAAACAGAGAACAATAGCCAGGGGAGATGGAAAGTGACATATGAAAAAACACATACATACTTTCATGGAATAATATAAGGTTTCAGCAAAATAGGCAGGCACACTTCGGATGCATTTCACTGGAAAAGGGCAAAGAATTAAATTACTGATTGTTATTAAATCACAACGCAATCTTTAACTGGCAAGACAAGTTGTGCATTTCTGTATCATTCTCTCCAGTGTGGGCTATTAAGTATACAGTTAGATAGACTGTTCCCCTGCTACAACTCTTTGGATTCTAGAAGTTATAATAGAAAAGAAATATCACTAGCCAAATTCTACTCCCAGTTACAAACCTACTACGGCATTGTAAGCAGGATGCCAAGAATTCAACCAAAGGCAGAGCTCTGTCTCACTTTCTGGTTTCTCAATTTCTGTGCATTACTGAACAGAACACAGCAACACCTCTGTTCCCACTTTTTCCCACCCTCCCTCCTTGCTTCCATCTCATAAAGAGTAAAAGCTTATTCTCCAAATACAAAAATAGACCCCAGGTGAGTAACTTAAGATAGAACCACGTTTTCATGCCAAATCCTGTAACAACTGCAATTTAAGTAGGCTTGGGAGTAAACGCAAGAAGGCCAGTTCTAGATTCTGTTAAGACTGTAATTACCAACTGCCAAAAGCAACTTCTCCAAATCACCAGAGGTTTCACGGTCAATGGTTTCTTCAATTTGAAAGCCAGAAATAGTCATGTATTTGTCAAACACTGGAAAATAGAAAGCGTGCTTACAGTCACAAATATTGTTAGCATTTTTCCCAGAATTCTCCTCAGTACAGGTTAATGTCATCTGTATCATTATCCACTGCTCAAATGCAGTGTTCACTCCTTCTTTGCTCTAAAATATTTTAATTACTTATTTCTTACTGGATTGCTGTTATACAGCACATTCCTACGTTTTGAGAGGAGCAATGCCGTGTACCAGAACACGCTGGGGGCATCCTAGCGGAAAAACAGCTTTGTGAAAAGGACCAAGGGGTTCTAATAAACCAAGAACCAAATTGAATATGAAGCCAGCAGTGTGCCCTGGCTGCAAAGAAAGACAACAGTATCATACTCTGCATCAGGACAAGTATTGCCAGAAGAGAGGGAGGCGATTCTTTCCCTCTCCTCAGGGCTACCTGAAGTACTGTGTCCAATTCTGGGCTCTCCAGTTGTCATGGTTCTACGTGACACCAGTACAAGACAGACATAGATATACTGGAGAGATTCCAGCAAAGGAAATGCTGGCTGATTAAGGGACTTGGAGCTTCTCTCCTATGAGGAAAGTATGAAAGAGACATAGCTGTTCAACTTAAAAATGAGAAGCCTCAAAGGAATCTTATCAATGTGTATAAATACCTAAAGGGGAGGTGCACAGAAGATAGGCTCTTTTCAGTGGCACCCAGTGATAGGACAAGAGTCAGGGAGGACAAATTAGAACACATGGGGTTCCATCTCAACACTGGGAAATACTTTTTCATTGTGCAGGTGCTGGAGTGCTGACACAGGCTGCTCAGGGAGGCTGTGGAGTCTCCACGGAGATCTTCAGAAGTCACCTAGACAGGGGCCTCGGTAGCCTCCTCCGGATAGCCCTGCTTGAGCATGGGTTTAGACAAGATAACCTCCAGTAGACCCTTCCAACTCAGCCATACTGGGATTCTGTGAACATACCCAGTGACAGTGCAGAAAGAGGGAAGATGAGAAGCTGAAGGAATCCTTAAACATTTTTCCCAGGGCAATGCTATTATCACGTTGAATCTGAGCCCTTTTCTATGCTGGGCTTCTGCATCCACTTAGCTTCACCCAAACTGTCCTGTTGGCAGTCTGTTCTGCTTTCAAAGAAAACTGCTGTCTTATCAGTAGTTAAAAAATACTGTATTCCCATCACCGTTAGGTAAACAAAATTTAGGATTACCTTATTGGCAACAGCAGTTTAAAAAATAAAAATAAGATTGCAAATATAATTAGCTTTGAAAATCCCATGAATCCAAGATAGAGAGAAAACAAAGACTGGAGAACCAAAGAAAAATTTACTGGTCATTAATTCCAGCGGCCTAGGCAGCTTGGTAAAACAGACTTATAAACAGGTGAGTAGCAGGAAAAAAAAAAAACTGTTTATTTATTATGAGCTAATAAAAGAGGCACCTAGGAAATGGTTGATTGTTTCAGATTATGGTGACTTGTAACAGACTCTTATCATCACTTTATTGCCATGACCTCTTTCAAAAGAAAATGTAAACATGCATCCAGCAAGAAGCGCTCCAGCTGTCCCTCAGATCTACTGCACCACTCCCTCAAGCAGCAGGTCAGCTCTGCTTCTTGCTACAGGGAAGGAAAATTAGAGGAAACAAAAACTGAAAGTGCTAAAAAGAGGGGAGAAGTGAATAAAGGTTGCTGGACTTCACCAATGCAGTACCAGAAACAACTACCACTTTTACCATCGTCAGGGTAATGCCAGGACTTCAGTCAGAAGTTTTCAGTCATACCTGAACCATATCACCTACCCCTCCTTAAATGAGAAACACTTCGAGTTCCCAAGATGGTGATGAATGTTTCTTCATCTGTACCCCATTTTAGCTCCCCAGCTCTAAACAAGACCTGTTGTAAATTGAAGAGAACAAAACAGCAGAATTTTTAATGTGTTCACACATCTTATTGAAAAGTTCCATTTGTCTTAATCTGAGAAGCAATAGCTGGAGGGAAAAAGATGAGATAAAATACTAATGTGACTTTGGAAACAAATAAATTATAAGTTCTGAAATTGACTGTGAAAGCACTTACATAAATAATTCTGCTTAAGGCCCTAAAATTGAATGTGTGCATGGCCCCTTTCATAAGCCCCAAGTTTTCTGAAACTGTCATCATCTAAGAGATAAAGTCCTTTCCTAATATTGTTTTCTCTCTTCCCTTTTTCAAATCAAACTGGCAAAATGTCATTATAATATGACTCATCTCAATGGGACAACTATGTTTACTTGGCTCAGGAGCTTTCAAACTAGAGGGGCCAAAATGGATTAAAAAGCTCTCAGAAACATTATTTGTGAGATGCTAAATTCTTCAGCAATATAAAATTACATTGGTAACAGGTTTTAATTGTGTTAGAGCACAGCGATTGCTCTTCAGCTATGTCTGAATGCTATTAGCAGCCTATAGTGAAGTAGAATGTTTCCAGAAATTTAAATAAGCAACAGAAGAAGAAAAAAAGAAAAAAAAAATCAGAAAAAGAAATTAATTCTTTTGTCTCAAACTCAGAAGCCTTTCTCCAAATTGTGTGCTCAACTGGATGTAAGGAAAAAGGTTCTGCATATCAGAGTATATAGCTTTTTTCCTCCCTCCTCAGAGGGGCAAACAGTTACCACCTGTACTAAGGCCATCAAATATCTCCTAGAAAAACCCACAGAACCACATCTGTTCCTTAGCCATACTGTATGCCAACCGTCTGCTCACACAGTAAAATCTGAATGTGACATTATGAATTTCCTATTGCTCTTCGTGCCACAATCCTATTCAAAGTGCATTAGTGACGGCTGAATGTTGTTTTTAAACTTGATACAGAGTGGAAAAGGATGGGAAAAAAAGGGTTATTTAAGCACTGCAAGGATATCCAGTTCAAAATAACATGTTAAGCTCTTTATCCAGTAGCAAATGTGAAGTCTCACTACAGCATTTTGAAATTCCAAAAATACATTTGTTTAGAGGTACTAGAAGTTGTGAATGACATTTTATGTTAGCTCTAATGGTTGTTAACAACTTAGTTCCCTTAGTTTCCCATGGAGACTAGACACTGTTACAAATGTCAAGTTCTAGAAATAATGTCTTATAGCTGGAGCACACTCATCCAGCCTGATTTCACAGACTCCTATAAATGTTTTCTTAATTACAAGTCATGGATCTCAATACGTTCTCCCATCACGATACACAAATAAAAAATCTCTTCCCCTTAGTTGAGTCAGCAATGGGTCTAATAGCTATCCCAAGAAGTACTCTGAATAATGGTTCAAATACCCATTAAATCAGATCAGAGTCCAACAACCAGGGATATGTCCACTCATTTACAAAGAAACTGAGAACAGGTGATATCCAGGTACTACTCCTATTGATCTTATCATTGCCAGAAGCAACAGTTCATAAATAAGAAAAAAGTCTTAAATAATTTTTTACAACTGCACTACTAAGTTTTCATGTGCCTTGCTACTGCACAATACTCAAAACATGCCTCAACTGCATAGTTTATTATTAAAAAAGCAATACAAAACATCTTCCAAAAAGTTAAACTTTCTCCTCTAAGGATTCTCAGAAAAAAAAAAAAATCAATAGTTCCCTACATATTCATACCATCTCAAACGCCCTTTCCCCAACCACTTTTAATTACGTTTGTTTGTTTTTAATTTTGTCTGAGATAACAGAAAATTACCACTGAATTTAAGATGTTACAGTTCAATATTTCATATCCTTCCCAAAATGTCATAGTAATCAATGGAAACATCTGGAAGCCAGAAAGAGTCTTGCATTTGCAGTCACATACTTCAGTTCTGACCATCTGTACCTGGCAATAATCATTAGAAAATGCTCTGAATCTATTCCAGCTACATTAGCTGTTGAACACAAAGATATCATTCAGAGAAATGTGACAGAATACCACTCTGTATAGGACCCAGCTCAAGCCAAATGCACACAGCAAACCACAAAGAATATTTTAAAAAAGAAGGAATTTTTCTGTATTTAGGTATGGTGCCTACTAACTTTAGACAGCCAAAAAAAGGCATCTATCTAGCAAGGACTGTGGTTCATGACTTTCTTCAGCTACATAAACCCAGCTAAAGATAAAATGGACACAGTTTCATGAAAGAGTCATTTCAGTGATTTAAATATTTGCTTCACTAATTGCCAGGCTCTGGCTGGCCCATACAAATTTTAACAGGAGGAAGATGCTTTCTTATTTTACATAACAAAATATAGGCCTGTGCCAAGAAGATATTTTGCCAATGTCTCTGTGCATCTTGCTCTACTATCAAAAGAATGTTTAATTGATCTGGTATGTTGCTTTTCCTCCTTGTCATCTTGAACAATCCATATATTTTCTTCCATCCTAGCTGACAATTTATGAAAGAAAATCTGTAACCCAGAGCTATTTGAATCTGTTGAGAAGAAACAAGCATTAAATTCATTCTGTACTCCAGTTGCTGAAATAGTGCCTATACCTACAGCAAAGCCAGAAACTAGCAAAAGACTTCAAGGATATTGCTTACTGCCAGTATTCCTTTTCCCATTTACAGCACAATTTAATGATCAGCAATCCAGTAAAGGAACATATGCGCAAATGGCAACAGGTGTGTCCCTAGAAATTCTAGAGAGGAAAAATATTGGATTGCCATTTTGTTACAGTAGCATAGGGTATTTGGAATACTTTCTCTTTTTATTGTTTCACACTCCCTGGAGGCATCCTTCACTGATTAGCATTAGCATTTCCCCATAACAAGAACATAACACTTGATATAAAATGATTAAATAGAAAGAAGCCCAAATTGAACATCAAAGAATAAACTGTTAACACATCTGAGTCTTCCAGCAGTGGGGTCTCAGTATTACAAAGCCTCAGCAATCATAATTTTCTCTTCTAGTGACTTAATCATCAAAACAAGTCATACGTTACTTTACACTGAAACACAAAAGATTTGATCCCAACATTCCAGTTTTTTCACTTCTTTTCCCTACAACACATAAAATCACAGCAAAATGTATTTAAAAAAAAAAAAAGCCACAACAAAACAACACACACAGAATCCTAAAAAATTATCTCTGACATTCAAACTATATTTGCATAGGGTCTTTACAAGAGAACTGGTAGAAATACTCCCTCCTCTCCTCAAAAAAAGTCATTCACCCACCTGAGCATCCTTCTCAACTAGAGACTCATCAACTCTGCCATCAGGATCTCTATTTCCCTAAAAAAAAAAAAAAAAGTTTACAAACTGTTAAACTTATAGTTGAATCAAAAGCCAAACTGTTACATTAAGCCTGTAAAAGTTGTTGTGAGAAGTCAATTCATAATGTACCTTCTTCAAAATCAACTTCATTTCTCCCTTCTGCTTGCCTTGTTACCTTCAAAAAAACCCACACAGCAGACATTCTGCTATATCCATAGCATAAACACCACAGAAGCTTTTCAAGCCAGAGTTGTAGAAATGGCCTGGAACGGAGCTCAAGATTCTAGGTTCAGAGGAAATAACTCAGTTTCAGTACCCGTCGTGTCTACCATTTGGCCTATGAACCCTAGTCAGTAAGCAGAAAACAACTAGCATGTGTCAGGCGTCAAAGCAGAAAGAAAATCATACACACATGCGTGCATGCAAAGAGATACACACCTGCAGCAGGACCACCAATAGTCTCTGGAAATGGCCTGACGTCTCTCCTGTAATCTTATCCTCCAAGTTGGCCTCATACTCTGCAAAAGAGCAATACTCCTATGGAACTGTGCATCAGAAACAGCTTTAACACCTGGGCGTATTCTGCTTTATAACATAACGTTATTGTAAAAAGATAAAGAGATATACCTCACACCTGTTATCAGCAAATTGCTAAAAGTATTTTGAAATAAAGGATGATACACACAGTTCCTCTTCAAGGAACTGAAGACCACACACTTCTGGGATTATACTGAAATACGCCAGTCTATTCAACAAGCGTAAGCCCAGAAAAACCTTGTGTCCATACATTTTGTTCTTGAAAACTCTGTTTTACCCTACACTTTATTAAAACATGAGAATTTCTTCTGTGCTGGGAACCAGGACAGATATAATGTGCTGAATTAAACACTGCCTGCCTTAGAAAGATAAATCCCCACAGTCATTGGGTGAATACACATATTCATACTCTTGTGGAAAACCAAAAAGTTGGACCTGCTTTAACATAAATTCATTTTACCAAAATGCTAAGTTAAAATAAATAAATAAATAAATAAATAAAGGAAAAAATAATTTAAAAAAATACCAGGTTTCTAATTTTCAAGCAAAAATTTCTGGTTAGAACAAAGAAATACATCTGAATGAATTTTAAGTACAAGGCACAAAAGATCTTGCATATCCTAGCCGCAGGCCCAAAATAAAAAGGATTTTTTGTTTACAGCCCAAACACTAGTTTCTAGCAATATGAAGTTTCCCAGCTCAGCAGAACAAAATTAGACATGCTGCACACACCTCCATTCACAGATAGGTCTCATTTGAAGAAACATGTTAAAGCCATATTGAAAGACCTGATAGAAGAGCCCAGAATTTTATTTTATACTGGATTTTACCTTGCATATAAACCTGTTTAATATTCTGCACTTCAGCAGGTGTTCTGGAGGCAAGAATTTCAGTCAACACTTTCTCATTGGTTCCTGCTCCCTAGGATGCAAGTAGAAACAGCTGATTTGATAACAATAGGAAAACAACTATTCCCTTTGACAATCAAAAGGCAAGCATTACTTTATACACTTGGACCAAACAGAATTTTTTTTTCTTATTATTATCTCATATACTGGGAAGAGAGAGTTGGGAACTTCTCATTTCAATTCTGGCATGATTACATGCAAAGCCAACCCAATACTTACAAGAAGCTCACTGCTGCAGCATTGCTGCAGCCCATCTGAGACATCTCAGTTCTTCGCTGTCACCATCAATGACATGAAGGTAACTGAATGGTTTCCATCCTAGCTGTAGCTCATATGCTGTCCTTCATTGATCTTTACCCTTCTATCAGTTGCACTGTGTTTAAACCTTCCCCTTTTTCCACCACAAATAAGCGCATTTTACAACAGAATTGTAAACTGAGACCCTCAAATAATTGCTGCCCTCTCATTACATGTAGCTAAAAGAGGAATTCCTCCCTGTCACAAGGAAAACATTTACAAAAGCCAAAGTAATATCTTGTTACCACGTCTGAGTCTGCTTTGCCTGTAAGAAAAGCCACTGCTGTTTACACTTCAAAAAGAATGACTTCAGAAAAGCAACACTTGATTACAATACTGTAATTTTTGTTACTGCAGCATATTATTTACAATTCTTTCTAGAATTTAAAAAGAACTTTATCAGCTTTTCCTTTACCAACTGAATGTGCATTCCAATACACAGAAAAATACCAACAAAGATTTTATAAAACGTATTCAGTCCTTTCCCTCTTACCTTGATTGCATGCTTCAGTGCATGAGCATCAAAAATACGTGCTGGTCTCATCAAAGACACCATCAATGTTTCAAACTTGCCAGTAAGTTCTGATTTCAGGTCATCCACAAGATCCTAGTGCAGAACAAAAGCACCATAATGAATAATGACTAAAGACTTCAAATGGACACCACATTTGCCTGCAAGTTAGAAGACTCCGGAGATGCATTGAAAATGACACAGGATAGAGTTCTTTTTGTTTTAACTGCTACATGACCTAAACACATGTAACCAGATAAAGAGTTAAAAAAAAAAAAAAAAAAAAAAAAGATGCTTGTTCACTTGGCAAACCTGAATCACAGAATCCTTAGTATTGGAAAGGACCTTTCAAGGTCATCTTGTCCAACTCTCCTGCAACGAACAGTGACATCCACAGCTCAATCAGGCTGCCCAGAGCCCTGCCCAGCCTGGCCTTGAACATCTCCAGGAATGGAGTGGCCATTGTATCTCCAGGAAACGTGTTCCAGTGCCCTACTACCCTCACTGTAAAACACTTTTTCCTTATATCTAACCTAAGTCTACCCTATTTAAGTTTAAATCCATTTCCCCTTCTTCTCTCACCACAGACCCTGCTAAAGAGTCCACTTCTTTCTTACAGTCCCCCTTCAGATACTAAAAGGCCCCTCTTTGGTGGCCTCACAGGCTTCTTTTCTCCAGGCTCTTGTAGGAGAGAGGTATTGCGTTCCTCAGACCATTTTTGTGGCCCTCCTCTGGACGCACACCAACAAGTCCATATCTCTGCTTTACTGAGAACTCCACATCTGGACACAGTACTCCAAGTGTGGCCTCACCAGCACAAAGCAGAGGAGCAGGATCACCTTCCATGCCACTTCTTTTGATGCAGCCCAAGGATACAGATGGCTTTCCGGGCTGCAAGGGCACATTGCTGGCTCACATCCAGCCTCCCACTCACCAGTGCCCCCAGATCCTTTTCAACAGGGCTGTGCTCCATCCTTTCATCCCCCAACTTTTACATCCCCCCAACTTTGGCAGCAGGGAGCCAAGGAGCAAGACCTTGCACTTGGATTTGTTGAACCTCATGAGGGGTCACTGCTCAAGCCTGTCTAGGTCCCTCTGAACAGCATCCCATCCCTCAGGTGTATCAACAGCGCCCTATAGCTAGGTGTCATCTGCAAACTTGCTGAGGGTGCACTTCACCCCACTGTCAGTGTCATTGATGAAGACATTAAATGAGTATCTGCCCCAGCACTGACCCCTGGGGGACACCACTTGTTACTTATATCCATCCAAACACTGAACCACTGACCACCACTCTCTGGACTCAATCCTGCAGCCATTGCTTTGTCCACCAGAAAGTCCACCCTCCAAATCTGTATCTTTCCAATTTGGTGAGAAGGATTTTGTGGGGCATGATATTATGCTTTGGGTTGTGGGTTTTTTTGTTTTGTTTTGTTTTTTGTTTTTTAATTGTTATTTAACATTGAAATTCATTTAACGCTACTAACTAACTGCACTAATTATTTTAAGTAATGTGTTTCTATCACATTTTCTAGCTCTAAAAAATATATTCCTGCTGTCAATTTATATGACACATATTAAGTCAAAATATTTGATAATTCTTTCTATACTGAGGATAAGGTCAATACTAGAAGCATACTAACAGGAAACTATGCAAGCTTTTGCACTAAAACCTAAGACATACTGTAAAAGTGTACATAAAAAAAAAAAAACATTTTTCTTTTAATAATCTAAATGGAGTATTCTAACCTAGCTAGCCATTAAGGATATGAAGAAGAAGGGGAAACTAGATTTTCTTCAAAGGAATCTTTTACAAAAACCATGATGGATGTGCCTCCCTATTGTAACTAATCATCAAAGGACACATACAGCTAATTTCTACAGTTCTTTTTTCTTTTTCTTACCCTGCCAAATAGTGTTTTAAAAGCAGATGCAATTTCTTGACGTTGAGCATTATTTCTGCTGGTAAGGATCTTCAGAATAGTCTCTTCATCAGTCCCTGAAGTTAGAAAGAACAAGAAACAGTTATAAACAAACTCCAAAGAAAATAAACAGGAAAAAAAAAAAAAAAAACACACACACAGAAGTAGCACAAACTCAGAAATAAAAGATGCTTTGAAAATAAAAAACCTACTGACAAACAGCATAATCATATAAACAACAAGTGTCACCAGACCTCTAGCTGAGCCACCATGTCTGTTGCTTTGCTACAGCAAAAATATGGCAGAGGACCTAAGTATTGCTATTTATTGCTTTCCATCAGAGCCCAGTTCCAAACAGTGCACCCAGCACTCCAGCTATCAGGTAAAAAACATTTAGACACAGGCTGTAGCTTATAGAAGAGCCCTGTTTTCAGGCTTTCCAAGAGACTTAAGAGTGTATCAAGACATTGTATACATAATGTATATTTAAGACTGTTTGATCAGTCAACTCTGAGAAAAACTCAGTGCAGTACCCCTAGGAGTCCCAGGGTAGGAAAGTATGGAGCTATTATCCATTTTATATACAATAGGGTTACAAAGTGATCCCCACAGCACAGCACCTTGCTAGCTGTACTGAATTTGGCAGCACCTGAGGTTTACTGCATTCCATTCTCCCCTTTCCTGCTTAATAGACCACTCCTTAGTCTATCTCTATTCTGTGTGCTTTGTATTTAATCACAATCGTAACACACTTACTTCCAGACCAAGGGAACACTCACATGTTTTCCAAGCACAGAGCTTTTATTACACTGCAGTAAGTCTCCAGTTATACCCTTTCAATTTATAGTCCAACTGTGCAATAAAATCCCACGTGTAGAGAAGCCTGTGGAGTATTAATTTTTAAATAAGGTCTATCCAAGCTATCTTTTTTCCTTGTGTTGGTCTAAAAATAAATGTTATTGAGAGCAGTACAGTCAGAACTAGGACATGTCCAGATTTCTGCAGTTCTGAGGCTATCATTTGTAGCATGTGGACACATGCCTTATCCTTTTCTGCTAGTATAAAAAATGAGTTCAGAAAGGATGTTTTCAAAGCAGGAGTGAGAGCCCTTTCCTTTTCCTAAAATATTAAATTCTTCTTACCCATTCCCTTCATGGCCTTGCGAAGGGCTTCTGCATCAGATCTGGCATCAAAAGGAGAGAATGCTGTCACAGTGCCTCTTGTATACTAGAGAAAACAGAGAGTGAGAAAAAAGGAAAAAGCCATGAAATAGAAGATAAAGTGCCTTTCAACTCTTCACATGTGAGCTCAGATTAAATTTGAATCCAAGACTCAGAAGCAAATAGCATTTTCCACGTGTTTGTCTGTCTAAGTAGCAATTTGTGGGCATTTAAACGCAGTTCTCACTAAAGGTTCTGTCGTATTTTCATCCAGCAGTAGACCAGCTAAATTCAGGTTTATTTGCATAAAGGTAGCTTGCAGAATTTGTTCTGACAACACTGGAGCCTTAATGCAGGAAAATGACTGAAATTATCATAACTTAAAACAATTTGGGAAATAAATTGCACAAACCGTGTGGGCCAGAAAAGCTGCACAATGATCCAAGGCATGTTTGGAAATAAGAACTTATTTTCCTCACACAAAGCCTACTGGAGCTTTCAGTCAGTATCAGACTGATTCCTTCCATCCTGCTGCAAATGTGATCCATCAAACTGTGCAATGTCATTCAATTTTTTCATCCTGTTCCTTTTGGCATGAGCTCCTTTTTACTTAGATTCAAAGAAAAAAAACAATTCAAATGAAAGATAAAAGATCAGTCCATCCAAACACAAACATAACTCCACTAGGTTTCCATGGAAAATGATTCTTCAGGGAGTTAGTGCTTGGGCCAAACACAGAAAGATATTTATCACTCTTACAGAAAAGTCTTGCCTTTATTTAAATGTGACAGTTCAAGAATCTACTGTGCTCTAGGTATATAGGTAATTTAAAGAACTACAGAGGTCAAGAAACAGCCAAAAGGGGAAACAGATGGCTTTTGTGAACAGGGAAGCTTTCTAACAGCAGAAGGAGAAAACTTTCATTGTAGGTGTAGTCATACTGAAGTAGCAATTAGCATAGGAAGAGCATTTTTCCTACTCTCAAGAAAGTGCGCAAAAAGAAACGCAAAGAAATCCACTGAATTGAGGCCAGGTTATTTCTCGGGCAGAACAACCATCTGGCCACTGTGACACAGTCTTTCCCTTTCCCTTGAGTTAGCAAGTTCAGCCTCGCAGTGCTCTGGTTTCAAGTCAATGTACTCATTAGGGTAGGTCAGCAGAAAAGCACAGAGAAAAAAAGAACTGGAAAGCACTAATCAGAAACTGCCCTGAATCACTACTGCCTCTCAGGCCATCTGTGTGTTATTATCAAAGAATCCTTAGAACTCCCAGAGCAGAAGTAGTAATAGGTTGGGATTACCCCACTCTATATCAGAAATTCAGAACACAGAGCATTACCGTGTTTGAGAGCAACAGCAAACTTCTTTCTGGTAAATGCTCTCCAGCAGCCAGCCTACATCAAAGAAATGTCAATTCCCCCGAAGTGTTCTCTTTTTCAGCATCACAACAATAACAAAACATTACAACAAAACATTACAAGCACGTTTTTAGGTGTTATTTCAAATTTAGGTGCATCAGTCTGTACTTACTGTCTTTTTCCTAGATAACTCCAAAAATTTTCATGAAGAAATCCCAAGGATTTAGGTGTCAATTTCATAAAATTGAATTTAATCTGCTAGAACAAAGATTGAAAAGCGTATATTTTCCTCCTCCTCCATTATTACTATACCAGCCAACACGGGGTTATTCAAAAGCATATTTCCTGATGCTTTGCCTCATACCAGCTTATAAAGACAACATTATGCAACTACCATGATCCTCCTTTGGAAATCCCTGTCAGGTCAATCTATCTCAGATAAAATGGTTTTTATGTTAAAGTTTTCCTTGGCTTATGTTGTTATAAGCAAGTTATAAGCAAGCATTTCCCTTAGTGATTCTTAGTCTTGTGACTCTTAGTGATTCCCTTAGTCTTGTGACAATGGCTCAGAATCTCTCTTTGGCTGTTCTAGAGAAAGTTTGTACAAATACTAAACATTAGATTACAAATCACTCTGCATTATCCTTCTTGTTTTTATTAACCAAGCAATCTTCCATAATTCTCCTTCAAAACACACTGGGGAAAACTTTACTATACACAAAATCTGACGAACAGTTGTTGGTGCAGCTGTAAAATCGATGTTATCTTGATGCCTGGATGTCATCGGCATTCCACACACTTTCTTCAGGCACATATTATTTACTGGATTTTGGCTACACTATCACCCTTAAGCAATACTTGAGAGGCACTTAACTTGTTGATCAGAAATCATGCTGCAGCTCTACCATTCAGGATAACAGAAACGTTCATCAGTTGGGCACCACAGACACAGCAGCTGTAGTGGCAGAACCTCCAGTTACGTGTGCTGACCTTAATACTGTACATCAGTGCACATTGAGCACAACCACCAGCAGGGAGATTTCATATAAGACAACCTTGAACATAGTTTTATAGGTCCTAGTCAGACCTGAGTTCTAAAAGCACGTTCAGAATCCACCTATGGGCAGGCCTGATGCTGACAATACATGCCCCAGCACTGAGAAAGTGTTGAGCTAACCTGCCTGTCAAGAAACCACTCACCTAGCTTTTTAGAGCAGTGCATGACTCAGCAGTCAAGATACGGCAGCAGATCTCATGTTATGTTTAACAATTGCAAATCCATCCAAAACACTCCACTGTCCAAGGAGTGCCGCATCACTTATCCTGGTCCCAGCTTCTTATTTGCAAAAATCAATGGGAAGGGGCAGAAAGATCAGCACTGACAAGAAACTGAGCTCAAGAAGAGAAAAGCTGCATCTTCTTTCCCAAATGCAGCACTTTTGGGTCACAGAAAGAAAAAGCACCAGTTCACAACCGTCGTCACTATCTGAACTATTGAAATCAACTTGCAGTCATGGAGAATCAGCAGCAGGAGCTGTGAACCAGATGTTTCCAACAAAATAATAAATCAATACAAGAGAGTTTCTGACAGAGACCAGACTCATTTGTCAGACATCCAAGCTAGTGTTAATGCTTAGTTTCACCCTTATCAAAAACAGACTCATTTTTGCAGATGGATCACAGCTTCACAACTGCTATGCCATCTTTAGTGGCATAGCATGAAAAATAGCAAACTGAAAGACAACCATAGATTTATTTACAAACTTTGTAACTTTTAACAGAAATAAATAAATGATCATACCTTCCAGTATCTCTAAGAAAGCAGCTTGCTCTTTGTGCAAATTAGATGCACTGTAACACTACAGCCTCATAGGACACTATTGTTGTGGTCAGTAATTTCCTCCCTCAGAGCAGTTCCTCTCTCCACCCAGAGAACAACGGAAAACACAAATCAACTTTTATACAAATCCATCTGTAATCTGGATCACTTAGTAAAAATCAGCATTCTATACAGAGGGCAGTAAAACAAAGGGAAAGACAACAGGCAAGACCTTGACAGAAAGAACACTGAAGGATTGTAACACCCAAAGCCTAACCACGTTTTTCTTTCTACACGCCCCACTGCACTGACTGTTAAGCGGTCGTGGATAGCAAGAAGACAATTTGAGATGGTACACTAGAAACGAAAAGCAGCCTCCATGTTCTCAAGACACTTGCCAGCAGGACTGGTGAAGCTTCTAGATATTTGGAATGAAAGTTGGCATGAAAAGAAACGGCAGAGGTGGAAAGAAAACAAAAGACTCAAGTAAGAGAAGATCTAGCTCACACCCCTCCAGCAAGGAAATCCATGCTTCTTCACATCTTTGTTTACTCTGCTCTGCAGAAGGTCAAAAAGTTACAAATTCATCAGGCAAATTGCTCCTGAGCAGCACCTCAGAGCTATTTTTATTTCTCCCAACAGACAACCTTACTTCACAATTTGGCACCATGTGGCCACATATCCTGGTAACAGCATTATCTGTAACATCAACAATAGCCACCTAATGAGGTTCCCTTTTTTTTTTTTTTCCAACCAAGCACACAATTTCCCATTCACAGTGCTTACCTACTATTCAATAAAAAGTAGTCATTATCAGCAAACAAAAAAACCATACTTGAACAGATCCAGATTTGTTTCCAGCTATTCTTGCCCCATACCCACTCATAGCCATGTTTCCCACACATGAAGAGCTAACTGTCTTTCACAATGTTACACAGCAGCTACAGAAGTAGATCCTGACCGATTTCCTACTGGAAAGCCCAGCATGTAGTAAGGGGAGCTGGTATGCAGCAGCATTCTTACTGTATCTCTCCATCTGTTTACAAGGTAGCACAGGTGAACTGTAAAGAGGTGAGAATGGAAATGGAGAATGTCTTCCAAACAAACAAAAAGGGCATGCTATTTCAGGACACCAAAATAGCCCAGAAATGTCATGTGCTTGAATAAATGAAAGACTAACTCAAGATTTTTTTTCACATAAATATATCCATCTTGCAGACAAAGCACAACAAAGTGCCCACCAGTAAATTGAAAGCCTTCGGGCTTACTGAAGACCAGACATAAATACCTGTTAAAACCATACTTGAAAGCCAACACTACATAAGAATAAGATTATATGTGCCTACCAAAATTTCAATGGCAGTAAGGACAGAAACGATACCATGAGTGGATGCATACAGACACACAGCTAGTACCAGTCCACAACCAAATCACTTCTACAAAACACTTCTCTAAGTTTAGTGATGCTTCATATCATCCACTTGAATGGAAGGAATAAGCTCTGGGCAGCAGGCTGCATTCACATCTGTCCTACTACATTTAAACTTCAGACAACAAAAGGGAATTACTCAACATCTGTGTTGAACTCTGAGTCAGCATACCACAGAGGTATCAAGGACAGGGAAGACAGAAAAAGGAAGGGGGGGCTGGGGATGGGGAGAGAGGATAGAGACAGCAGAAAAGAGAGAGAGCAGAAAAGATAAGATCAAGCAACAGAAACATGGGAACCAGCGCAGGGACGTGTGCAAAAACAGTTAGAGAACTTGTCCTCACAAAGAACCACAGCAAAGCCAACAAGCTGCTCAGAATCCAGCCTTGGAAAAGCGGTTGCACTTCGGAATGTGGGAAATAATCCTCTAAAGCAACAACGAAGTTAGCAATACTACTCTTATGCTCCAAGTTATTGAATCATTAAGATTGATCATCTGAGATCAAGTCCAACTATCATAGAAGCATGGAATCACAGAATGGTCCAGGTTGACCACAATGATCACCTAGTTTCAACTCCCCTGCTATGTGCAGGGTCACCAATCGCTAGACCAAGTCACACACAGGTTGACAGAACAGGAACTGCTGTACAGCACACAGCAGCCACACCTGCACCAACTGCAAGCAGTCCTTTCCTGGCAGCTTACAAATGGAGATGGAAAATGGTCTGTACAAAAAGCTGGGGAGTTACAGGCCAAAACAGACCAGTCCAGAAAATATTCTTGTAGCCTTCTTACAAGATTTCTCAATAAGCAAGCACAAAGTAGCACTTCCAAGGCAGATTATCAAGTGGGAAGGGACCACCTCATACATGTCTACACATTAAACAAAGTCCACTACGCATAGAGATACGTAAGAAAAGAATTGTGCCTTAGGACTGCACTATTCCTCCAGAGAAAGGGAAAATATAGAGGCATGGAGAGACCAGTCTGTACTGCATACTATGGCATGCTTCAGTTTTCCACAAAAAAAAAAAAAATGAACCTTTTTCTCCTGGACACGGATCATGGAAAGTCCCTCAACAACACGGAAAAAGAAAAGAACTGTTGCCATTCCTGAGCTAGAAAGAGTACTACAGTGAAGATACTCCAAAGACAGTTCACCTTCTTCAGCTTTTATTCTTAGTTGATATATCCAGACTATACGGGACTTCATTACACTGTGCCGTGCAATCTTTTCGAATGTTGAACCTTTGGTTTCACATATAAATAACTACAGATAATTGACCTTCTACATTCTGTTATTAATTAATGTCTATTTTCATTTCTTAGCATTAATCCATGGTGCAACAAATTTAAAAACAGATATCTGCCATGAGAATCAGAGCATATTTCGTTTGTTAGTTGTTTTTTTTTTTTTTTTTAAAGGAATGACAGGCTGCAAAGCTTCAGAACTCTTTCTTTCTTTTTTGGCTGCATCACCTCACAGGCAGAGTGCCACAGAAGTCATGGGGGAGCAGCCATCTGAATGTGGGAACTGGAGGGCAAGATCTCCCTGGTACAAGACTTGACAGAATCATAGAATCACAGGGTTGGGAAGGACCTAAAAGATCATCTGGTCCAACAGTCCTCCTATTACCATTACTACCTCTAAGCTACTAAACCATATTTTGCAGAACCTCATCCAGACACCTCTCAAACACCAGTGGGAACAGTGAGCTCCAAGGGCATCAACAAAGATCAAGAATTAATATTTTGGTGGAACAGACTACAAATGAACTGCAAATTTGCATGCTTTTACTAAGAGGAAGTTACTTTTGAACCTTCTTTCCCAATGTTATCAAGCAGTTCTTAACTGTCTATTCATACATTAAGCACTTAATCAAATGCCAGCAATCCTCATCACCACATGCTCAGTTCATGCACTGGATGCAAAATAACAAACAAATTATGAAGTTCCCTTCTCTAAATGCAACAACCCTTCAAAAGGTGAGACTAATCAAAGCACAAATACGCATTTCAGTGTCTGTGAACAGGAGCTAGCCTTTCTATCAAATTAGCTCAACATTCATCTGAGAGCACCTAATCCCAAACGTAAATCATTTTATGAACAATAAAGAACTGACTCAGCTCACTTTCATTTAACGATACTCCTATGAGATGTCATTATTCACGAAATTCAAAACTCTGTCCTAAACTAAACCTAACGTTGTCCTAGCTAAAACGTTACTGCTTAGGAATAGAACAGCTCTGTTGGAAGCGACCTCGCGGAGCACCCAGCCCAACTGCCACGAAGCCACGGTACAGCACCGCAGTCACCGCGACCTTGGGGAAGTGCCTTACACTTTCTACAGCCGTACAAAGCCCACAGTTCTCTTTTGCTGCTCAGAGCACGAGGGGCATAGAAAACCGACGCGGCTGACTCGTATAGCAAGCCCTGCTCCAGGATCAAGCGCATGCTCAAGGAAGGCAGAGCTAAAGCAGAGCCGTACTCGTGGCTGCAAAGCTTGCAGAAGAACGGAGCGAATAAGGGACGCCCCGGGACTTTTCTCCTCCCTCCTCCAGCGGAAAGCGCCTCCGCCCAGGCTCTGCATAAACCCGCGGCCCCGAAAAGTTGGCCAAATTAGTGGAAACTGGCGGAAAAAAAGAGTGAGCTGTGTATGACGTGTTCCTCACATGATCGGCCACTTTCCCCGTCCTCCTCCTTCTCTCCACATCCCCCGCCAGGCTCGTAGATGGAATGATTTAAGGAAGACCAGAAAAAAAAAACAGAGACTGCAGGAGAGCCGTTGCGGCGGCCAGACAGGGGAACCGCTCAGGGGCGGCCGTTCCGCGATGCCTCCCGCCTCACCTTCGCCATCTCCGCAGTTCGTCGGTCGTGGCTGGAGCCGAGTCCGAGTCTGCAAAGAGAAACGCGACAGTGAGCGCCCGGCCGCCGCCCGCCCCCCAGAGCGGCTGCGAGCCTCGCACAGCGGGCAGCTCTCTCACCGCGAGCGTCCGTCGAGTCGCCGCACAGAGCGCCGAGTGAGACGCAGAAGAAGAAGCGAGCTCTGGCCCCGCCGTTGCCTGCTCCACCCGGGGGCTGAGCCAGGGACCGCCCCGGGCGGGCGGAGAACCGTGGCCGCCTCCAGCGGGCGGTGACCGCCGTGTGCCCGGCCCGGGGCCCCGCGAACCGCAAAGGCGGGGATCGCCCCGGGTTCGGTAACACCGTGAGCTTGGACGTGGAACTCCCTGTAAGGGCTTTTAGTTTTGCAACGTCTTACAGAGGGAGTGTTTCGGAGCCCTGAACGTTTCCCCGTAGAGGAAGCGGGCTGAGCGGCTGTTCCATTAGCTGTTTCCTCACCCGCACCGATGCGACCCAGCTGGGCGTTAGGCGCAGGGAGGAAAAATAAAGTACACAAATGGAATCTAGCGCCTTTGCCAAAATAAGACGCTATCATCTCATTATGTGATGTTTCTAACGTGCCGTGGTCGTGTTTTTCTTCACAAAACACCGACTTTACTGATCGCTGGGTAAATTTAAACCTTTTGTCTCTCATTTCTCGTTCGAGCAACATAAGGTTCAGGAAAAACATGAAAACCACCCAGCTGGCTTTATTTGCAGAACCAGAAGCCAAATAGTTGGAGAAAATGCCCTGATTTTCTAACTGAAGCCTGATTTTCTTTCTGACTGAAGTGGCACTACACATGCTGCAAGATGCATGAAGGGAATAGTGAGTTGCTCATTATATACGTCTAAAAATGTACACATAGATTAGATGTGGGATCAGGGTTTTCAAGGAAACACTGAGTTACGAAATGGTTTCAAAAATCATAGCTAAAGTTCAGACTTGTTGCTTTCAGCTTAAGCACAACAGATCTTGCACACACCCATCCCTTTTTGGGAAAGCAGAAGTCCTTTTCTCCCTCCACATTATATCCAGAGCAGACAAGTCACACTGGGATCACATTTCAAGCTTTACTATCTAGAAAGTGCACATGTGCAGGCACAAAAAGTGTAAATGGGCCCTCTTTAATGCACTCCACAATCCTGCTGATGAGACGGAAGCATGTGAGCAGAGCTAATTGCATTCTGAGTGCCAAAAACCACAGATGTGAGCACAGCCAAAAGGAATTCAAACTTCGTTGGTGACTCAGACATGAGATAAGGAGCAGCTATTGGGTAATGAGACATTTTTTAAAGGTTCTATCAGTATTATTTGAACTATTAGTCAGGTATCTAGAAGCTAATAAAGCTCTAGTCCAGTTTGAAATAGGTTAGTAAAATCTGTTTCAGCAATGCACAGATACAGTGTCTTTCATGGCATAAATGCATCTATTAAGCTTTACAAGTAATAAAAGCAGCTTCTAAATAATTTAGGAAAAGTTGCCTGACCACCTACGAAGTCACCACGCCACCTCAGAAAGACAGCAGTCCCACCCCCATGCGGCAGCAAGCCCCTCCTGGCTCCCACACAGCTGCAATGCACACTTGGAACTCCTGGCTTTCCCTAACACCAAGCACGGTTTAGACTAGGCAATATGACACCAAATTTCTGCTAGACTAATGAAGGAGTTGCAAAATTGCTATGCCTGGAATAATACATTTTTTAAAAAGACAAAAGGTGGTACTTCTTCCCAACTTCTCTCATGTATTCTGAACTTGGGAGGATAGATTTTTTATTTTTTTTTTAATTATGTCTTCTGTTTCCTATACCTTATTTAATACCTTTCCTAATTCTTGCTCCCATTCCATTTCATCCATAAACATCATGTTGGAGGCTGTGGATCTGGGAACAAATTAAGACATTGTTTGTTCTGAAGTGTGTATACTTTGCTTATCACATATCATGGAGGAAGTTCACCACCATTCTTTTCAAGCTATGGGAAACAGTTTTCACCTCTTCTACCTTTGAGCAGCTTACACAAAGTACCTTGTTGTTCTGTTCTGCTGTGCAGTCTCACCCGCAGCCAAAGATGAGGTATTGTTCAGCCAAACAGAGATAACCTCTGGCTTTCAAATTCATGAAGAACAAGAAAAATGATCTTGGATGCAAGAGCAGAGCACTTTCCCTCTCTGGAGGGTCTGAAATACATGCTGCAAGATGAACTGTGACTCCAACCATGGAAAAGGTTAAACTAAGCATAAAGAAACGTTGCCAAAAGACAAAGTTAAGAATAAAACCTTCTTTAGTTAAAACTAAAACGTTAGCAAGATTTGATTAAGCAAGTAAATATTTGCATAACTTCATGGTGTGATTGGGCCTAGTGGGTTTTGCAACAAAATTATTAATGATTTGCCAGTCTATTTGCCAAGAGCAGATTTCTGAAAAACTCTCCTAATTACAGAATTCTACTCTTTGTGTTGATTTGAATGGAAAGTGAAGAGGTGAAAATAGCAGTATCAACAAATCCTGAATGAACATAAAAGATATGAACATACAGCTAGAAGAGAATGCAAATCACACTGACTACCTTCAGTAGAAAAAAAAAAAAAAAATTAAGTCAGGCTGGAAGAGTAACAGATGGTGACTCCCAGCATCAGAACATTTATGGCTACCATGGGCAAGTATTTAACACTATTAGCTGCTACTCTAGTATAAATAACATTCACCTATAAACCACAAATAAGATTTCGTTTGTTTTTTTTTTAATAAAGTCTGTTTTTCACATGACCAAAAAACATATTAGGAGAAAGCAGTCTTTCCCCCTCCTTCAACCACTAGAGCATCTTACCAGGATGTAGCAGTCTGCTCCCCAGTGCTGCTGCTGCTGGCGCAAGGTAATTCCAATCCACCCTTAGCACAGAGCTGTAAACACCTGGAATGAAAGAAAACAATCAAAATAATGTGCTTCGAATTATGGTCTTACCAATACAGAGTGAAATTCTGGAGTTTGTCTCAAAATCATGCTTTCAAAGTGCAACAAAATGCTGGACTACCTGTCTGAGGTGGCGTGTGCTTTGGTTAAACAACCAAGTGCTCAGCAGCCTGTAAACCAAAGTAACCTCAGAGGCGCAGACCATATTTGCAACCTCACATTTCTTCAGAAGTAAAAGATGGGAATGAATCAACATAGGGACATATTCTGAATTTGTTTTTTCATTCTGGAGATACATTGGCTGCTCTGTCAGACTTCAGCACTTCCATGACCTGAGCTCTTGAAAAGGGATTTTAAAAGCTATATATTAATGCAAAACAGCACAATAACAACAACAAGTCAGATGACTAAAGCACACCAACTCTTGCTTGCTGCCCATTTCCATTCCTACAAAGTGAGGACCTGTGGAGTACATTGACTGGTTTGAAATCCCACTTTATTCACAACATCTTCCTGCAGAGGAGGTGGCAGGAGAAGAGGACAGAAGGCTACGATGAGGATCATTCTCTATTGGAAGAAGATGGGCTCTGTTTCCTCCCACAGATATGCTCAGCTTCAGGGTGGGCAGCTGAAAGAACATCAGCATCAAGGCAATCTGAGGCAGCTGGTCACTGTGATTGTGTAGTTGTATTCTGGCTTCAAAAGTCACCTTTTGTTCTCCAAAGTTCTGTTTTCTTCTTAAAGAAAAATAAGTAAACAAACAAAACCAAGAGCCACTTCAATGTAACCTACACTTCCAAGGATAAAGAACCTGCAGGCAGGGCTGCAGAACAATACCCAAATAAGCATGAGTTCAGTAAACCTTCTGGCTTCTGTATGAAATTCAGATGTGCAAGTCAGCCTAGACACATTTATTCAAAATAAATAAGCAAGCAGATTTCCCTTGGCCAACGACCACCGTATCAATTACTCAAAATTGCCAACGTAGCTGTAAAAGGGAAGCAGAGCACTGATAAAACAATCACTAGGTATGTGAAATAATTAACTTAGAGAATTCTGACAGACTGAAAAGAGTCTTCAAAGACTGGTTATAATATTAAATACATTTACATGGATTTTTTTTGTTTGTTTCTTTGTTCTTGTTTTTACTATTCTCAGAAACAAAGTGAAAGTCTTACTGGATGAAAAGTTAGCACAAAAGCAGTTACTTTTAGAAGCATGGCCTCTCACAGCTGCTGTGAAGAGCACGGTGCTGGACTGCAAAAAGACCAAGAGCTTCAAGTTTCTTGTTTTAAATAAAAGAGTTGACAGTTTGCTGTATTAGTGCAGTCCTCCACCCCATGTCATCTCCTGCCCAAAAGCACTGTACATAATTGTGCTACCAATAATATTTCTGAGATACATGCAACATAACATCACAAAAACATAAGCACACACACAAAAAAAATTCAAGGATTAAAAGAAAGTTTGTTTTTTTTGCCATATGCCAGATCACTGCTAAGAGGAAAATGTCCTTCGACGTATCAAAAATCAGAGCACAGTGATCAGATTAGAGACACTTTCACATGATACAGGAATGTCCATGACAGCCTGTATCAAGAGTAATATTTGCTCTTAAGGAGAGAGGGAAAAAAAAAAAAAAAAAAAAAAAAGCATTACAGAATATTTCAAAACCCTATTGGAGAATCACTGAAGAGCAACAGCCTTACCAATAAGGATTTTCAGGCTTGGGAAACTTCAGGAAGCAGGCACTAGCACTCGTGGTCACAGTTTTGTTATGATATTATAACTGAAGATGAATCCTGCGTACTTTTCACATTTATATGTCTCTTCAAAAAGGAAACAGTAAAAGTTTCTTGATGAACCACAACCCAGAGGAAAAGTAAGGGAAGGAAAAAAAGAGCAATTTCATATTGGTGTTATGATTAATACCAACAGGAGAAACGGTTCTGTTTCAAACCGGGAGCCAGAAGAGTGCCATTTCTCAGTGTCTCATTTCACCCCACTCTTTCACAAGCACAGCAAACTGCTCAGTTGCTAGCACAAATGGAGAGAGCTTTATACTGCACTTGGGCACCTGAGATGGAAGAGACAAGGCAGAGGCTGAGTAGTAATGCTGTTAAAATAAGAGGAAGGGAGGCTGATACTGGTTTACAGGCAGGGTGAAAAGGTTCTGATGTAATACTGACAAAAAGTTTATGAAATTACTTCATGCTGCATGCACTGGCACCAAGTGGTTGCTGAAGGGCAGGTTATGAGCACAAAGTAGAGGAAGATGCATTTATTTATTTTTTCGAAGCACTCTGAGACTTGCTTTGGAGATTGGATGTTGGTTTACATTCCAGCAAAGACAGTATCCTGTAAGTGAATCATTACTTTTAATACAGAGCCCATTACAGAGCAGTGCTCTGACAGATTCTTGATTTCTCTTGGGACACCAGGAACAATATGAAAAGGTTAATGGGAGCTAGGAGTACTAATAGCCATTATAGCATCAGCCAGCTGAATTCATCTCACCAGAAAAATGTTTCATTTTCTTTTAGGCAGAGGAGATGCAGATTTCTTTGAAGTTATCTTTATATAAGGGCATAGCACAAGGATGTCATCAATGTAATAATCCAAATTCAAACAAAGAAATCACTTGAGCCAGGCT